AATCTGGGAAACCCAGGTTGTACCTAAGTGAGAGAAGCGAGGGTCATAATAAACTCAGTCATACGCTGTATCCAGCTGAACATGGTGACATACAGTGATGTGAACACCAGTGCAGTCTTGACAAAAAGGCAGGCAGGTGTAGACTAACATACCTGCTTTAGGATAGGTTGCGATCACAATGTCATCAGGTCTGGCCTTGAAATTCTGCACTTTGTCCCAGCTATCAGTGAAATAGTGAGCCATGGACACACCTTGAAAATCAAATAACTTTGGGCGACTCAGTTCCATCTGAGGGAAGGACATTTTTGTAAAAAGAAAAAAAAACTTAACAATCAATGATTTTTAAAAAGCATCATAAATATAACGTATAGCATATTATCTATACATCTCTCAGAAATAATTCAGGATTGTGTTTTTTACATTAACCTTTTTCAAAATTTTCTAAAGATAATATTCACTTTAACATTCTCTTTCTCTCAAAGTTTATTTATATACACATATATATATATGTATATATATATATATATATATATATATAAAATATATATATTAGGGATGTAATGATACACTCAACTCACGATTCGATACGATGCAATTTTCTCACGATTTTGTAACAGAATGAGCTGCAGAAAAATTAATTCAAAAATATTCCTTTATTTATCTTTCTAAACTGTGCAAAACATGTCCTCTTCTTAACTGAAATTGAATAAAATACTGTTTTAAAAAAAATCCCAAATCAAAATAAATTAAAAAAACCTTCAAATACATAAACGGTAATGCTTTACATTAACTGCACCTTCATAATGCTTTTATATTGCATTCAAAAAACATTCAGTGCACCTTCATAATGTATTATGTATTCAGAAATCATTCATAAACATCATGCATGTATACCGTTACATCCTAGCATCCCTTAACAGCTGTAATATACATTAATAAACATTATATAATAATAAGAAACATTATAATTGTATAATCATGTAATGCTTGTTATTAATGTATATTAAAGCTGTTAAGGGATATTAGGATGTTAAAGTGTACTTGCATGCTGCTAATGAATGTTCTATGAATGCATTATGAAGGTGCACTGAATGTTCTATAAATGCATAATGAATGCATTATGAAGGTATACTTAATATAAAGCGTTAAAAAAAATAAACTAAGGCTTGCATGTGCAGCTTTTTAGCGTGGTTTGCCCTTTTAATAATCTTCGCTCTGGCGGTGGTGAATTGAGCTCACTGTGGTGCCGGTGGACATGCTGAAGCATATTCGTTGTGCTATTTGTGTATGTTATCAGTCTTTTACAATGTTTGCACACAGTTTTTGTCTTGTCTCTGCTTTTCTCGCCGTTTTCGTTTGTGATTACAAATTACAAATATATATATATATATATATA